GTGAACAAGATGAGAAAGAGCAAACTGTACCCCCAAGCCTTTAAGGCATCATTGCATCATGCTGACCATAAACGAGTCAATTTAGCTCAGGATCTGAAGGAGCAATTCAATTATGTACAGTCCCATAAACCCTACGCATACAACAATCCAACTTCCAAAACAGATTATTCCAAGTGATACACCAGAGCTCGGCATATCAGAGAAGTCATCTCATTACCTGGATTCTATATCCCATCTATTGAAACACACAAAGCCAAGTACAAAGTAGGATGCCACTAACTTGCAGGAAAGCCAAAGTGTGCACACAATTAACAAGGAAGCACAGGCAGAGAAATGGGCCCTCTCATCACTCCTGCTCAGAATGCAGAAAACGTCCAACGAAAATGCACAGGTTTTCTGCCTAAATTAATAAAATCAAATACTATGCAGCTATGTCGGCACAGCTATGGTCAATGGACATGGAAATATATTTATGATCAACTCAAAGTGAAAAAGAATGCTACTATCCAAGCCTCCTTCTATAAAAGGAAAAAATCTGTGAGCATATACGTGAATTTAAAAACAAGTCAGGATACACAGCTCACCAAAATGACAGCAGTGGTACCACTGGGCAACAACGGGATTCCAGGTAAATTCGTTTCTTCTTTATAAATTTTCTATATGTTTCAGTTTTTCTTTAAAATGAACTGTATTATTTTTATCGAAGAAAAATGAATAAAAACATCTCCACTTCAGGGAAGAAGAAGTGAGAAGAGAAAAATATTGAAGGATCCATACACCATTAGTTCGTCTGCCTCGAATATTATGGTTGGGAAAGGGAATCTGTTGAAATGCTTTATAAAGTCTTTGCAGTCGCTTAAACTTTGGAGCTGAACTACACAATAAATTCACTATAATTTAAGTCTCTTGATGGTACTCTTCATGTGGATTGCAGGAAGAGGATTTGAAAGTCACGCTACTCTCAGCTTGCTGAAAAGCCCAAAGACGAGAAAAGGCACCAAGAGAAACAGCAGGGAATTAGAAACTGGCAGAGAATTAAGCATCTTTTGACACAATGTGTCCCTGGCCCACAGTAGCTACAAGCAACAAGCTCCATCATGGCAGGTGCTGGTGAATCAAACACCCATGATATTTGGTATCTGAAATTTTCTCATTTTCTTTGAGATTTCAAGAAAACATATTAACACATGCACCAACCAAGAGCCAGGCACCATGCTAATTGTCAGGAATGCTCCAGGGACTAAGACACAACAGCTGCTCTCACTCAGCTCGAGGCCCAGTGGGATGAACGGATGGGAGAGGCGGCAAGGGCCAGTAATGAGCAACCTCCCATAAGAAGCCAGAGGATGTCCACCTTCCAGCCCCACACTATAACCTCTGTGGTTTAATCTGCCCTGTGCTATCACAAGGAGCCACTGGCTGGTGCAACTGGTTACACACTCGGCTACTAACCCAAAGGTTGGTGGTTCAAACCCACCCAGAGGTGCCTCAGAAGTAAGGCCTGGCAATCTGCTCTTGGAAAGTCACAGCCATGAAAACCCTACAGAATGCAGTTCTACTTTGAAATACATGGGGCCGTCATGATTCAGAATCGACTTAGCAACTGGCTTGACTTGGTTTTGTGTGTGTGCTATTATAGTGAAGTTGTATGATAAGGCTGATCCATCAGGCAGTTACTTCAATACAGCA